GCTGGAAACCTGCAACTTGACGCTGCACGGATCAGCCTAAACAACTCGGTAAACATCTTCAGTTTACCTCACTGCATATATTCATTTCTTCTAGCGAGAAGAAGGTTTCCTTATACTCCCTGCCTCCCCCCACACCACTCACTCATACTCATGCAGATGTTCTCTATGGCGATGGAAACCCGCCAGCAGGGGGGTCAACCCACCACCACCTCGCGATCCGTTCGGCCTTCTCAGGTGTATATACAGCTGCATTAGAGCTGTAAATGGCATATTGTGAGTTCTTTCTACCTTTGAGTTTCGTCTTTCCGCCGCCGCTGCGGGCGGCTGCAACCCCAAACAAAGCGAGGATACGTGGGCTTGGCAATGGCTCGTCTTCAGCTGCTCCTAAAGGGAGCATCGGGGCTTCCTCTGCATGCAAACAGCAGCAAAGGGAATACTAGCTGCGATGCTCTATGCTTGTTGGGCGCCTCGTGCTGCAGTTTCAGGGCTGGTTCCCGCCGCTCTTTTTGCTGCTTGTTGAACGCAGCAGCAGCAGGCAGCAGCTGCATCAAGCATGCATGCATACAAAGCAGCAGCTCTACGATCAGCAGGAGGAGGCCTCCTGCTGCTGCTTTCTGCTGCAGTCGACCCCTCTCAAGCTTTGTAGGGGCTTCGGTTCCTCCGTGGGTATTTCCAGCTGCTGCTGCAACAGCATTGGGAGTTGTTGCGCACCGGCGGTGGCAGCAGGAGCAGCAGAAGTTCATAGACTCAGGTGCATGCGCTGCAGCAGCAGATATGCTGCATGCGGCCTCCGGGTGTACAGACACCTCCCTGCAGTCTTTGTTCAGAAGCAGCATTCATCTATCGGGTGGGGCGACGACAGAATATGTTTATTTGCCGAATCCTCAGCATCCCGCAGCAGCAGCAGCAGCAGCAGCCGCTGCAGCTGCTTCCTTGGGTGTTCCTGCTGCTGCTGCTGCTGCTCCTGCTGCTCCAGCTGCTGCAGCAGCAGCAGCAGCAGCTGCTGCTGCTGGCGACATGCTGCTGTTTTTTCATGGCGGTCTATGCGGGAGCGACCAGCTGCTGGCATCGAGTCTTTCTTTTCCTTCAAACATTAAGCATTTGCTGCTGATGAATAGACAGGGTTATCTCCGTTCTTCTTCTCCTTCTCTATGGGCAGAGCAGCAGCAGCAGCAGCAGCAGCAGCTGCTGCTGCAGCAGCCTTCCAGGCTCAGGCGGGGGCGGTCTGCTGCTGCTGACAAAAATCTGCTGTATAGACACCGCATGCGCCGCCAGGCAGCGCTCTTCAACGGCGTAGTCAGACACGTGCAGCAGCAGCAGCAGCAGCAGCAGCAGCAGGAGCAGCAGCAGGAGCAGCAAGGTCTGCATCTGCTGGGGGTAGGTGTAGGCTGCGCGCATGCAATAGCTTATGCTTATTTTTTTCCTCAGGGCGTGCGCAGCATCTCTTTGTTAGACCCCGTGCTGCAGCTGCATGCATCTGCTGCTGCTGCTGCTGCTGCTGGCCCCCTGGAGCTGCATGTGCTGCGGCGTGTTGGGGTGTATAGGCACCTCATCCATCGGCTGCTGCCGCAGACAGCAGCCAGAGTTCGTATGCCGACCCCCAAGGTTTCAGGTCTTGAGTTTGCTGCTGCAGCAGCAGCAAAATATTTCCCTGCTGCTGCTGTCTTCTTGCTGCTGCATGCAGCAGCAACAGACACAACTGCTGCTGCAGATACACCCACACTCCAGCAACTCCTGCATGCAATGCAGCAACACCCGTCGGTGCTGCAGCAGCTGCAGCAACTGCTGCAGCAGCAACTGCAGCAGCAGCAGCTGCAGCAGCAGCAGCAAACTAACAGCACTCCCTCCACAACACAAGACGCTTCGATGCCTGACAACCAGCAGCAGCAGCAGCAGCAGCAGCAGCAGCAGCTGTATCGGCAGTTGCTGCTGCAACTGCAGCACATGAATGGCTGCTGCTGCATATCTCATCGTCTTGAGGGTTTTATTGAAGACTGTTTGCTGCTGTGGGGAGAAGCAAAAGATTCATCTGCTGCTGCTGCTGCTGC